GAGAGGGAGTACCTCCTCTAGATGTTAGAGAGCAGAAATGTTTGTAATTTCTATTCTTGCTAAATCTTTCAAAGTGCATATCCCTTTGTAAAAGCTAGTTGATTATAATTGTTAAATGGAATTGGATGCTAAATACTGGTGGCTGCTAGTAAGGGGGCCTAACGAGGTAGCCCAGTGGATAGAGCACTGAGCTTGGAATGGAGAAGGCTCATCTTCATCTTTACTTTGTTGAAATAGTAATGCTTCCTGAAGGGAAAGGAGAAAAATCAGATGAGAAAACAAGCAAAATACCACCTTAGGCACTTAGATAATTTAAAGAGATAAGGGAAAAGTCTGATAAGAAAATAAATACAACTTTAGACTCTTATGATTTGGGGATATTGCAAAATCAGCAATCAGTTGTACCCTCTTCTACCTACTTTCGACATCAAAGATATTACCCCTGTTTTATAATTGTTTTTTAGTTAGATGTGCACTTTGCCACATTGATTGACTAATTGTGTACTTTATGCTGATTACAATATTCAGAGTTACTCTTATAAAGAAGCTAAGAGATCGGGGGACCCAGACAGAAGAGAACTAACCAAGTGGATATGAATGAATCCACATGGAGCTGCAAATTGCACTTGGGGAGAGTCAGTGATTGAGTCACTGAGTCATATTACACCAGGAAATAAAGGATCCATATGTCCTAAGAGATGGCAGTAGCTGGCCCATAAAGTGCCAGTCAATAAAAATGTATTAAGTGCCTACTATATGCCAGGTGTAGCACTAAGCATAAGAGACACTGAAGCAAGCCTCTCAAACATGTGTCCCTAGGAGAAGAAGAAACCACAGACCCAGAAGACTGTGAGAGGTAGGTACATAGAAAAGCAATGGCAGAACCTCTGCTCTGCGATGAGATGGCCAGAGCCAGCATTAATGGTGAAGTGGCAAAAAAACATAAACCCAGACTATTGGAATGAATGAACAACAAGCTATGGGCTGCATCACTTGCAAATATGGATCCTGTTTCCAAGACAGGGACGGGAGGATTCTGGGATAACACTGAATTTCTGGATGCTGTAAATGTGGAATATTATTGAATTTATGGACTCGCCTTCCTAGAGATATGAGATAGAACCACACAGCCTCCAGTACTACCGTATTAAAGCCTAGAAATGTTTGCAAAATGGGAAGAGCTGTATGTGGGAAGTTAGGGTACCCGGGCATCCTTCACAGTTTCACTTGACACCAAACACATTTAAAATATGTTGGAATGTGGCTCTGTCACAGGTGTTAGTGGTGAGAGATGCTGTCTAAAGAAACATGAAAAAAAGTTTAAGAAGCAGAATGTATTTAGCATAGACGAGTATTTTTTATTGTATTCAGTAGAAAGCAGATAGGAACAAATGTGAAAGGCCTTTAGGGCATGGCCCAGATCCCTTTAAACCTCTTAAATGGTCCCTGCTTAGCAGAAAAGTGTTCCTACAGAGTGACACAGATCCAGAATCTGACTTAATTTAGCATTTTAGCACTTTAATTTATGGCCTGCAAGCAGACTAATTTCCATCTGGTTTTGGTTATATGAAGCTGGGGGAAATGACTAGAAACTGCCAGAACATATTGCCTACTTCCTGATTAACTATGGATTTTCTAATATTAGGGCAGAGATAGGTAGGCTGCTTTGGCTTACCTAAGGTATTGTTCCCCTTTTTTCTATTGCTGGCTTTTGAGAATCGGTCAGGATAATGATTCCTATAAGAGGCAGCTGGTGCTATAGTGGATAGAGTGCTGGGCCTACTGACCTGAGATCCAATCCAGCCTCAGACCCTCTATTAGCTGTGTGACCCTGGGCAAGTCATTAAAATCTGTTGTTTTTTTTTTTTTTCAATTGTAAAACAATAGCACCTACATTGCAGGGTTGTTCTGAGGATGAAACAAGATAATATTTCTAAAAAATTGCTTGGTACATAGTAAGCGATATATACATGTCTTTTCCCCTTTCCTTATACCACATTTCTCTGAATCTTTTATGAATTATGATGAAGTAAAGTACCTCGCAGAACAGATACCTGGCTGGTTCTCCACAGGGTTGCTTTCCAGGAGGATGAATAAGAGCAGGAAGCGGCAAAAAATTCCTATTACTAAACCTTTTTGTCTCAGGATCTTGGGCTGTTCCTATAGCAATCTGAGAAAAAGTAGTGGTTAAAGTGGAGGTGATGATCTGATCTGCATGACACATGCTGCCTTCTGTATCTCCCACAAAATGTCTTGGTACTTTAGTCACACTGGCTTGCCTATCCCTGTGAACGGAAGTTGATTGACACTTGATTGGAATGGCTTGCCCCTTCTTCATAAGAGTTGTTGGTTTTTGTTTTTGTTTGTGTTTTGTTTTTTGGCTGTGAGGGCTAGCCTGAAAGAATGATTGAATGTCTCCAGAATGTTTCCATTCTGACAGCTCCTGTGCCCATCTGCTTACTGGTGGCAATTGGTCAACAGTCATTGAGTGTGGTAATGAGAATGATAGGCCCCTTATCCCCAATGATTTCCCCCCTTATCCCCAATGATGTCTCCCCTCAATGGCTGAGAGGGCTGGGTTGGAAGCAGGTCTAGGGGTTTTGGGGTCACTGTTATTCATAAGACTCTTGGGCTCATTATTTTGTCTCTGAGCATATAGTGCTCATCGTTCCAGTTTTAGGATGCTCTGTGTTGCTGTATCTGCTTGTCCTCAGGGTTTTTATTGAGTTTCCTTCTTACTGAAATTGTTCATAGTCCAGCTTTTTTTCTTATATTATTTTGATTACTTTCACCTCCCCCCAAGCTGGAATTCAAAGCTGCTTCAGTTTCCTCCCACATTGGGGGATTTAGATTTCACTGACTTTGGTCTCTGCTCTTAGTAGATTCTGGGGAAAAGGACTATGCCCAGCTTGGTTTCAGTCATCTTTTCTTCATACCCATGTGATGGGATACTTGGACCCCAGCCCTAGGACCATATCTCTCCCCTAGTACATAATTGGCACTTAATAAATGTTTATAAGTTAATGGCTAAATAATTGATTTGATTAGCTGACTGACCAAAAAATGTATTTAATAAATAACCCCATATGTACATAGAGAATGGTGTTACCATCACTTCTTGAAGAATGAACTGAGGGCTTCTCCCAAAGAAGAAATTCTGAAATATTTAACAACTAGACCATGAATGATGAAGTTGGCTTAATATCATTCAAAATAAATGTGAATTTTCTCTAAGAAGGGAAGTTAGCAACGTTTCATTAAAAAATCCAAGTGTATAGATTTTCACTGCTATTTCTTCTTGTTGTTCAGTCATTTTTTTCTGTTATGTCCAACTTTTCATGACCCCATTTGGTGTTTTCCTGGCAAAGATACTGGAGTGATTTGACATTTCCTTCTCCAGTTCATTTTACATGATGAGGGTATTGAGGCAAACAGACTTAAGCAACTTGCCGGAGTTACACAGTTAGTAAGTGTCTGAGGTCAGATTTGAACTCACGAAGACGAGTCTTCCTGACTGTAGGCCTGGCACCCTATCCACTGCACCATCTAGCTGCCCCATAGATATTTATAGCTCACTGTCAATATGTAAAAGTATCTAAAATGACTTCTATAAATAAAAAAAAAATCCTTTAAAAATCTATAGCGATATAGACACATAAGCATTTCTACAAAGAGATTGGAACCAGAAGAAAAAGTAGTACTTCTTTTGGGATACTATAAAGGGGGGGGGGAGAGAGAGAAAGAGAGAGAGAGAGAGATTTGCTATCAACACTCTTCTATTTACTAGAAAAGAAACTGATGAGGTGAAGTAGAGAGTAAAAATATCATATGCATTTCAGTAATTCAATTCTATCATTCATGGTCTAGATCAGTCATATTTAAGTACGTTGTTGGTTATTAGAATTCCTAAAACCTGATGCTCAATTCCCTTTAAGGATTGGAGGCAAAATCACATCTTTTTAAACTCTGATTTTGAGCTGACTTTGATGTTGGGGATGGGAAAGAGAAAAATTACACTTATTCTTTTAAAGAGGCAAGTCTATTTTGAAGCAGGGAGATCCTACCCCATTAGCACTAGACAGCTGTCTTCTCCTTCAAATTGCATCTCAGATTGATTCCTTTGTGCCAAGGCCCTTTGTTTGGATGGAAGCTAAAGGATGGTGGGGGAACATGGTGTACATGTAAAGGTATTAATTGGCAATGACAATATTTCCAGTGATAGATAAGTTGAAATGTTCCTAATGATACTATATATATATTTATATATATTATATATGTATATACATATTATCACTTTTGTGGGATATAGAAAGTTTGAGCAGAGAGTTTTTCAGCTGCTACCTGATGGTTTTCCCTGTCACCATGTAATTCCATTACCAAACAACTGCAATTGCAAAGCATCACATGCTTTGGTGGATCCTAGAACATGAGTACTGTCATCACTGAAATTCTGCCTCCTTACCATGTTCTAAAACAAGGACACATTACCCAAGTTTTTACTCCTTGGCTCAGATACTACTTTTTTTTTTTTTTGGTTAGGCAATGGGGTTAAGTGACTTGCCCAGGGTCATACAGCTAGTAAGTGTTATGTGTCCGAGGACATATTTGAACTCAGGTCCTCTTGACTCCAAGGCCAGTGCTCTATCTACTGCACCACCTAGCTGCCCCATAGCTCAGGTACTATTGACAGAATGAATTCTCTTCCTATTTAATCCCCTGGATTCACTCAGATTTCTAACATATGTATTGGGAAAGCTTGTTTATGTTCCTTTTGTTGACATTGATGGGATATGGCATCAAGCCAGAATACTTGCAGATTCTAGACTGATAATTCTATTCTCAATATTTTCTTTGATAATTAGATTAGAAGACCCAAAAAACAAGAAGCCAAACTTTGAAGTGTTATCCAACACAAACTGAGAATCAATGACTTTGAGCAGATTAGTTATTGTTCAACTAGTCATATTCTTTGCAGGATGCTTCATAAAAAGTCCCCTGTTGCTGTCCTGCCTCTTGGCTTAGCAGTAAGAACACCAAAGCTCCAATGGCCGCTCTTGGTGCTAGCCTTGCCTTGCTAGTTTGGTTTGTTTTCCTAATCTTTGTCTCAGTATGGAAGAGGATTTACAGCAGTTGGAAACTTCCCCCAGGCCCATTTCCTCTTCCAATCGTTGGAAACATCTTCGACTTGGATTTAAAAAATATCCCCAAATCTTATGCCAAGGTATGGGAAGCTGTTTTCTTTTTTGTAAATTGAGGAATCAAGGCTAAAACATACGCTTCTTTTATTCATTAACAGCCAAGCATGGCAGAGTTGTCAAAATGTGCCGTTGTCTTCTTCAAGAGGTAATAGATTTTCTCAGCGCCAGAGTTCTTCAAGTAAAGGATAACTTGTTAATTATGTCACGGAGGGGATTTATATTCATGTAAGAGTTGGTCTGGATGATTTCTCAAGTCCCTGATAACTCTTAGATTCCGTAAATGCTTGTCAATCACATGAAAGTTATATATTGATTTTGCTGTATCTATCTGATCCTAAAACCAATGGATCAGAGTAAAAAAGCATTCAGCCAATTTAAGTGATGGGAGGAAAGAAAAAGCATTGTCTTACTAGTATTAAACAGATAGTTGGAGTGATATCATTCATGGAGTTAACTTTTTCTGTTTAGTGGCAAGGTCATTATCAGAAAACTCAGAGCAAAACTTTCTGTTGAACTGGTCAAATATCTTCAGGTGAAAACAACAAATTCTTCTGGGTTTTTACTGATATTTCCTCCTAGTATACAGACTATGGCTGAACTAAAAGTTAGAGTTAGAATCATTCTGCAATATCACTTTGATTTGAGCATGAACTATTTTCAATGGACTCTTTCCCTTGAATTGATCTGTTGCTTGGCATTTTGTACACAGATGGCCAGGTATCTAAAGAGGAAAAGAACTTTAATCACCATTAATAATAGCTCACATCCATGTACTACTTTCTTCACAATAGGCCTTTGAGGTAGGAAATATAGACATTATTACTTTTATTTTATGGATGAGGAAACTGAGGGACAGAGGCATTGAATGGCATGACCATGTGGATGTAGCCAGTACATGTCTGAGGCAGGATTTGAAACCGGGTTTATTGATACTAGTTCCAATGCTGTGTGCTAAAGTGGGAAATACATTGTGACTAATTTAGCTTAGGAAAATGCCACATCCTTTCAAGATATAAAACATATCATGGTAGAAGAAATATTGTTTATGAAGTCCTAAAGCCTGGGTTTGAGTTTTGGTCTCACCCCCTAAATCTGTATGATCTTGGGCAAGTCACTCTTTGAGCCTCTATTTCTCTCCTATATAAGTAGAGATCATGATGTTTGCTCTACCAACTTTCCTGGGTTATTGAGAGAATCTAAGAGGATACTAGATATAAAGCGCTTTTTAAACAAATGTTCTCTCTCTTTCTCCCTCCCCCCTTTCTCTACATTTCTTTCTCTTTCTCATGCTCCTTCCCTCCTCTCTTTTCCCTTTTTTTTTCTCTCTGCCCCCTCTCTGGAAAGGGCTATTATGAAAACTTGGAGCTGGTAGTAGGCTGAGATGGTGACTGGTGTTGTTCAGTCAAGTCTGATTCATTGTGACCCCATTTGGAGTTTTCTTGGCAAAGATACTGGACTGGTTTTTGCCATTTCCTTCTCTAGCTCATTTTACAGTTAAGGAACTGAGGCAAACAGGGTTAAGTGACTGGCCCAGGATCACATGGCTAGTAAGTGTCTGAGGCCAGATTTGAATTCAAGGATATGACTCTTCCCACCTTCTGGCCTGGCACTCCATCTACCACACCAGCTACTGACCCTGATGGTGAGTTGGGTTTACAGAAGATGTGGCTAACCTTGCTCAGGAAGAACATACAAGTCCCAGATTAGTAGAGAGCAAATGGCAAAATAAAAGCTTCTGCCTGGGTGAGGTAATAGTCAATCAATATACATGCATTAGCGGCTGCTGTCCTTAGTTGTACAGGTGCTAATTCTCTAAACCATTTAGAAGCTTAAAGAAAGGATTCAATTGAACTTCCTTATACTATTTTCTGTTTCCTTTATGACGATGGTTTAAAGGTTCATTACTACTGGAAGGGAAAATGTTTAAATGAATAGCTTTCTAAGCAATGATTTTATTTTCTCTAAAAGTGGCTAGATGGAATAGAAGAGGGCTGTAAATAACACTAGGTGGAGATGGGGGCTGTTTTCTTCACAGCTGTTTGTGAGTTTAACTGGGAAGATCCAAATTATGGATCCTAAAGTTTTTCTTTGCAGACAAATAATAGGAAAAATTGCAGGGCCTATGCCTAAAGGAAGAAATTAATAAAAGTAGGACTTCAGTCATCATGGCTGGCTATTGGGGAAAATTTGGGGAATAAGAGAGTGATTTCAGTAACACTCGTTTCATCTATAAGAATAGCCCTGATCTTACCAATCGCCACAGCTAATTTCATTCAATTTACAAAAAACAAAAACAAAAAAAAACTGATCAATTTGAATGATGCTTTTACTCTGTGTGAACAGATGGTGACTTCTATTTGGGTGATAAAGTCAATTTCATGTTGGACTCATTAAAATGGTTGAACAGAAAGAGATCTGGATATTATCTTGTCCACCACCTGATTTTAGAGAGTAGAAGACTGTGTCCTGGTTAGCCATTTTGCTCTCCACATGAGTATTCTATATTTTGTTGAGGAATAAGATCTGTATTTTTAGTGCATTTTTTGGGGGGGGAGAGGTTGCAATTTCTTAAAATGTATGGGACAAGTGAAGAAATGTGAAAGGGCTAATTTATCTAATCTGGATTTTGTTTGGATCATAGGATTCAGAACTCACAAAGACCTTAGAAGTCATCAAGTCAACCCCATCTTATTTTCCCCCTTCCCCTTCCCCTTCCCTTTCCCCTTTCCCTTCCTTTCCTTTCCTTTCCAGAAGTGACTCACTTGATAGTTTAGTTTACCACTAAAACAAAAGAGATTGAGTTCAGATCTTTCTGATTTCCAATCTAGTGCTCCTTTTCCCACATTGCACAGACAGTTCCCTCTCTCTACATATATCGCATACTTAAAAATGAGGCACAGAAAGGCAGAACAGCAAGGCACTAATGAGAGGACAACAAATGACTTAATTCTTAGTAATTCAAGAGAACAGATTGGGTCACTGAGACAGGGCCTGACCTATGAGGAAGCAGTGGCCAGCTTTGTCGAAGGCCATCCCTACCCTAAATAATCCCTAGCTCCTTCTCCATCCTTTACTTTAAAACCTGTTTCAAAACAAATTTGTCTTCCACTCAGGAGTGACATACTAACTCAATAGCATCTTCATGAGCAAGTATTCAAGATTAATAAGGAGAAGTATTGGAGGGAAGGGGACCCAGGGACAGGAAATTTCTTTAGATTGGATAAGTCTAGGAATGTGGACTTAAAACATCAGTCGGAGCCTTCCTATGTCTAATTCCCTTTCCTGTAACAATAAAATCAGGTGGTATTTGTCTATGTATGGCAATTTCAGCATCAATGTCAGTATCCAAGATCCTGTTTCTGGACTTTTCGGATCTTATCCAAATTTTGCATCTTTACTGAATCTTTTTTTTTAATTGACTCTTTTATAAAGTGTTACTTATGACTTTTGTTTCTACATCATAGTCATTTCTGGATAAACTCCACCTCCTCCCCTACCCTTTATGCCATGAACCTTTCTCCTATCTAACAGTTCTTTCATTGACACCTTACATTTCCAGTCATGGGCAGAACTAACTCCTGTAAGTCTTTCAACTCTTTGAAGAAAGGTGATTCAAAGAACGATCCCCCCCCCCACCCAGATAACCCCTAAGGAAAAACAACAAAACATTTTTGTTATCGAACGTTGAATGACTGTTTTTTGTTTGTATGCATCTCTCTGTGTGATCTTTTACAGCTAGCTAAAGAATATGGCCCTGTGTTCACAGTATACATTGGCTCAAAGCATATCGTGGTGTTACATGGATACGAAGTTGTGAAGGAAGCTCTGCTCGATCTTAAGAACGAGTTTGCAGGGAGAGCAGATATACCAGTCTTTGAGGCCCATCAGGATTTTGGTAGGTCACTCAGCCTTTTAAACTTAAGCTTTCTAAATATGTGTTAAGCAGAAGGTAATAGCAATCAACAGATGTTCTTAGATCATTTAACGTTGAAATTGGAAACACTTTAGAGATTCAACTTTTTTCATTTTTCAGTGAAAAAAAATTAAGGTCATGAGATTAAGGGACTTGTCCAAGATGATGAGATAGCAAATGAGAGAGCTAGGATTTGAATGCGAATCCACTGAGCACTGACTGAAATCCAATTTTCATATTAATGCAGATTTAGAGATTGAAAGGAGGGAACTCAAAGGTCATTTAATCTAAACTTTTCATTTTATAGATGAAAAAACTGAAGCCCAAAGGTGAGTAACATCACTTAGTCACAAGAGTCAGGATATGAACATAGGCTATCTGACTCCAAATTGGTTGTTCTTTCCGCCATGCATTTTTTATATTACTTAATGAACGAGATTAGCTCCTTCTTGCTTCTAGAATAAGATAACTTCTAGGCTTGGCACATAATGATATAGTACCATCATGATATAGTACCAACTTATCATTGTGTCCTGATTTTATATCACTGCCCCCATAAATCCTATATTCTACCTGAATTGACCTATCTGCTATCTCCCACACACAACCTCCCATTTCCTATCTATGTGCCTTTTCTGGTGAAAGATGAAAAACTGAGGAAACAAAGGTTTAAGCTTCTGAACATATCAATTTATTAAGCAATGTTTGCCAATTGCCCAACAAATCAGAACGAGCAGGCTTCCTCAGCTTTGGCATTAGACCCTGAATACAGGGGGAGACGGATTTTTTTATTCATTAAAATCAATTAATCAAATAAGACCAATTAATTAAAAGAAAACAATTAACCAGGCTACAACATTAGGTAATCTGATTTCTAATTGTAAGAAAGATTAGAGACTTTCCAAGTTAGGAGGAGGAGAGTAAACACATGCAATTCCCTGAAATCAGAAAAAGGGAGGTATTCTACTCCTCCCAGATGCCTGTGAATAATCAAAGGGACACACAAAAAAATAACTGATTGATCATCATGGGACCAGTTTTCACATAAGACACATGGGTTGCTTGAGATGTATCATTGTGAGAAAACTCCTTGTATCCATCTTCAGATCTAACTGTGTTTCTCATCAGCATATACTAGGTCCTTAGTCAGGGATCTCTAAGCAATAGGTGGAGATGGTCCAGTTTCCCACCATGAAGGGCTATGCAAACAATCCAATATAGCTTTCTCCCAAAGCCCACGATTGAATAAAGTTTCCTTACAAGACAGAAATTGGACCAGACCCATAATTGAATAGAAAGGAAACTGAGCTACCTTCAGAATTGAGTCACAAGATGGAGTCAGTGTGGTTCACTCAATTGCCACTACTGCTTGGTGTTTGAATCCCCTTAGTTCCCTCACTTAGCACAGGTCAGTCTCCATGCATGGAATGATTTACTCCTCACTTCTACATCTTAGAATTCCTAATATCCTTCAAGGCTCAGCTTGGTTGCCAAATGCTATACCAGGCCTTTTCTGATACCCCCAACCCAGGTTTTAATGAGCTTTTTCTACTAAGATATCTATTTACTTTACATACTTTATATAGATTTCAAATTTACTTATCTGTGTGCATGTTTTATTCCTGAAGAGAATGTAAGCCCCTGGAAAATGGGACTGTATCCTTCCCATAAACTTTTGCCTTTTTTGATATTCTATCTAGTTTCCCTTAAATTGATTCTATGAAGTAATAAGTAATATGCCTGTGTAATACACATATGGTGATATTTCTTCCCTAGGAATTATTTTCAACAACTCAGAGACATGGAAAGACACACGTCGATTCACCCTCACAGTCCTCAGGGATTATGGAATGGGGAAGAAGAGCAACGAAGAAAGAATTCTGAGAGAATCTCAGTTCCTACTTGAGATACTCAGAAAGACAAATTGTTCGTGTTTGGGCAAACATTTATTAAATGTTCACTATATATTGAGGCCCTGGGGGAAGATAATAATACATAGTGGTCCTTGTCCTCAATGAGCTTATTCTTGTGAGGGAGATGAGACAGGAGCACAAGGAATGATAATATAAGTGAGAATGTGGTAAGGGCTTAAAAGAAGTACAAGGTGTTATGTGATTTATTATTTAATTGGGGGGAGAATCAGACCATAAACTACAACAAAATCTGAATAAGAGAGATAGAAAGAGATAGAGAGACAGACACAGAGACAAAGTGACAGAGACAGAGATTTTAGTTAAATAATAATAAAAAAACATTTCTGACCACTAGAGTTGGCCAAAAGTGGCATTTTTCATCTCTGGAATTCTTTAAGTTGAAGTGGGGAAATTATATGTCCTATATACTCTCAAAATTATTCCTTTATCAGGAATGGGGTGAAGTAGATGATCAAGGGATCATATCAATAGAATTGGGAGAGAACAGAGAAGTCATAGAGCTTAATCCTTTTTTATTTCACAGAGGAGGAAACTGAGGCTCAGAGAGATGATGTGATTTATCCCAGGTCTAATAGTTGCAGAGCTCCAAAGTCCCTTGTGAATCATAGATTTTATGCTTCTAGAGCTTGGGACTTTTCCAAATCTCTAAATAAATCATAGACACTCAGATAATGGTTACTACTGCAACTCTTCTGTTATTTTTTGGGGGGGAAACTAATGTAATTATTGTTTTTAGTCCCTTTCCAAATGTAGAAAACTGACCAATAACTTTTCCAGGCTAGAGAGAGGTTCATTCCCAAGACTAAGAGACCTTGAGGAGGAAGAGTAAAGCATCTTTAGTTACTACATTAATATACCATGTTATGCATAGGATAATTTACTTCTGGCATATGTTTAGCCTGAAAGTAGATTCCAGGTCCTGGAACAAGCCACTTAACCCCTTTGTCCTTCGGCTTCCTATTCTGTTAAACAGAGCTAATAATTCCAATGCCCGTGTGATCTATTTCACAAGGTAGTTGTACAGAACAAATAAGAGAAAGCATGTGAAAGAGATTTGTAAACCACAAAACACTATAAAAATAGAAATTAATAATTAAGAGGCAGCATGGGATAATAAAAAGAGAAGTGACTCTGGATTCAGAGGAGTTGGGTTTGTATCTTGTTTTGGAAGCCAACTATCTATTTGACCTTAGTCAAGTAATTTTCTCCTGGGGCCTCAATTACTTCATTTGTAAAATGATGAGGTTGGACTAGCTGGCTTTTTTGGTCATTTATTGCTCTAAATTTATGATTTTGAGTAAGATTATTACTGTTGTTATCTTGTGGTGTTTCCATTTTTATCAGGAGACTGACAATATTGGCTTGGATTACCACTTGCAAAATTCTAGCTCATTTTTAGTAAACATCATACCAAGAAAAGTGAATAAATTAGTTTTTCTTCTTTCCCTATCCTTACCAGGTTGGGAAGGGGGATGGTGGGAGAAGAGTAGGTTTTCAACACTGCCTCTCCTCCTTTAAGTGCAATAAAAAGATATGCAGTATGAAAACATTAAAACAAATGACAGATTAAATCAGAGAAATGATATCACTTTGATGTCACAAGATAGATCAACAGGGAAATTGAAGCATGTAGAGACAATGAGACTTGTTCCCTGGTGGGAGGGACTTATAATGAGTAAGAGACTGAAACATTGGATGGAGAAGGGAGTTTGGCATCCATCCTATCACACACACACACATACACACATATGCATGCATCTAATAAGAATATTGCCTATTAAATCTCCCATTCTTTTGCTACTTTATGTTTATTTTTAGCCCAGCCATTTGATCCAACCTTTGTCCTTGGTGGTGCTCCCTTAAATGTCATCTACAACATCCTTTTCCACGACCGCCTTGACTATTCAGACAAGAGATGTCAGAAGCTGTTACATCTGTACAATGAGAACTTCTACCTTTTAAGCACGCCCTGGATTCAGGTAAGCTCATGTTTTCTCTTATGGGAAAGAGAACTTTTGTGGCTGGATCATGGTTTCAGTTGTTCTGGGGATATCGAGATAAACACAAAGAGTCAACAAATACAAAAAAGGAAATAAGTTCAGTAGGTAAAAATATAGGGAAGCAGATGTCATATCTCTATAAATAAACCCCCCACTATAATAAATATATATTATTATATTATATTATATCACTATATTATATCTATTATTATATTTTGTTAAATATGTATTTCATATAATATATATTTTAAAAATATATAATACATTTTTTAAAAAGCTATCCAAAAGTGGAATGAACTGCCTTGATATTTAATGAATTATTCATCTTAATAGATCTTCAAGTAGAGGATAAATACCTCTTGTACTCAGTGCTGTTGTAGAGAATCTTGCTTCAGAAATGATTTGTATTGGAAGAACACTGAAGTCTCTTCTAAATCTGAGATTCTTTGATTTTAGATGACTATATGAAAAATCTGTTATTTTATGTACAAGGAGGAACTCCTTGTGTGGGAATTTCCAATACCAGAAGCATTTCCAGCATGTGTGTGTATATGTGTGTGTGTGTGTGTGTGTGTATGTGAGAGAGAGACAGAGACAGAGAGACAGAAAGAGATAGAGGCAAAGACAGCCAGACAGAGATACAAAGACACACAGACACATTAAATCAAGCTATAGAGTAAACAATCACCCTAGTGAATAATTTTATTTTGCACCCAGCAAACCAAAATGTGGTGGCAGAGCTGGGTGGTGCAGTGAATAATGCACTCACCCCAAAGTCAGGAAGATCTGAGTTCAAATCCAACCTCAGACCCTTACTGTATAACCCCATGCAAATTACTTAAACCTCTATTTGCCTCCATGTAAAATGGGCATAATAATATAACATACCTCCCAAGATTATTGTGAGGATCAAAGGAGATAATAATTATAAAATGTTTAGCTTTGTGGCTGGCACATAGTAAGCAAGCTATGTGTTAGTTATTATTATTAGTATCTCTTTTTCAGATTTACAATAATATAGGATCTTACTTACGTTACCTGCCTGGAAGTCACCGGACACTTTATAAAAATATATCTGAAGCAAAACAGTATGTATCTGAACGAGTCAAAGAGCACCAAGAATTACTGGATCTCAACGACCCTCAAGATTTAACTGATTGTTTACTCATCCAAATGGAGAAGGTATGACATAAAAAGTCATTTTGTCATTTGATTCTGTTTGTTTCTGCAGCACAATTAGGTCTAGAGAACTCCAATAAAGCAGATTGAAAAGAGATGCAGCAAAATCAAAATGAATTGTAGACTTTAAAAATTCATTATACAACTAATCTCTCCAGAATGGTTTTCTACATTCATCAGATATTGCTTCTCTTTGTTTATGTAGATAGGACCTTTGAGTTTTTGCAATCTGAACAGCATAGTGAGAACTGACAACCTTTTCAACTCGAGCTAAATTTCTTATTTAGCCTGTTTCATCAGAGGATAGTAAGATGAGCTTCAAAATCTCCTTTTTGTATAAGTCATCTTTCTCTAGGTCAGGCTTTGAGCAGAATTTTCCAGTTGCTGGTGTCTAAACCTAATCTGCAGCAAATTTAAAATAAATCTTTAAAACTTTCTTTGCTTAGTTGTTTAGAAGACTTCTCCTATTATAGACAACTAGGTATTATGGTGGATAAGACAGCTGGCCTTGGAGTCAGGAAGATCTGAGTTCAATTTCATTCTTAGACACTTACTAACTATGTCACACTGGGCTAGTCACTTAACCTTTCTTAGTCTTGGTTTCGTCATCTGCAAAATGGGGATAATAATAGTAGCTTCTTAATAGGCCTGTTATAAGGATCTAATGAGACAATATGTATGATACTTTGCATACGTAAAAGAGCTATGTAAACACTAGCTATAGAATACATCTAGAGTAGGAAGAAACCTTAGCATCTCATTTTACGGATGAGGAAAGGCTGAGAACTGTACATTCACATCGCCAGCAAGAGATGTGGGTGGAATTTGAATCCAGTTCCACATTAATTTTCTTAGGATCCCACTCAGATAGAAGGGGAGAATGGGACAGATATCACTGAGCCTGCAGGAAGGCATTTCTCTATTCACTAATTTATTGCTCATATGTCTATGCCAAATTCTTCTCAGGACAAAAAGAATCAAAAGAATGGATTTGACTTGGAAAATGTAACAGTCACTGTGGCAGATTTACTTTTTGCTGGAACAGAGACAACCAGTACCACTCTGAGATATGGACTCTTGCTCCTTCTAAAATACCCAGAAGTGGAAGGTAAGAGGAGCTAGAAACAATTGAACAACAGGGTCTGGGAGAAAGCAGTGCTGGGTTAGTTATATTCAGGACATCAGGGTACTAGCTTTGGTTCTGTAACAAGGTGTATAACTTTAGGGAAGTGTCTCAACTTTTCTAATGTCTAGCTCCTCAATCTTGAGGGACTGTTCCTGAGAACACTGGCGTGTAACTTTTCAGCCAGAAGGAAACTTTTAGTGGTGTTTCCCATTGCACTACATTGTCTCTCAGTGAGCTAAGGGAGAGAAAGACTAGGTTTTGATAGAAACAAAAAAGGTCCAATTGATCTTCTTGTTAGTGGTAAATACTGGCAAAGAAGCGATTAGGGGATTGAAGACCTGAGCACACAAAGGGCATAAGAATTCCAGCTGGCCAAGCATTGTATTCAATTTGAACCAGGTCTGAGCAAGGCCCCTCTTTCTAACTACAATGTATGTGGGTGAATCTAGGCCATTTCAAAATGGCAGTAGTTTGGGAGTCACATGACATGAATTTCAATTTAGACTCTATTGCTGTAATATTAGACAAGTCATTCACCTTCCTTGAGACTCAATTTAACTGTCTGCAATATGAGGGGCTTGAACATGAGAGACGTTCAAGGACTCTTTCAGCCCTCAATCTATGATCCCTGGAAGTGTCTGGACCTCAAACCTTGACAACTGAGGCAGGGAGATAGAGTCATTCAGTGAATGGATCAATGTCTCTGATGCATTGTATTCTAGTGAATCTGTTGCAGGTGAAGGATGAAAGAACCAGAGCCAGAAATAGAGACAGAGAGATAAAGCAAAGGATAAGAAATGGAAACAGAGAGAACAAGTGGGAGATAGATAAAGTGACAGAGACACACACACACACACACACACACACACACACACACACACACACACACACACACACACA